ACTGAATCTTTTCCCACACTCGAGGCATTTATAGGGTTTCTCTCCTGTATGCGTTCGCTGATGTGAAATAAGGTATGAGCTCTGACTGAAACTTTTCCCACACTCCAGGCATTTATAGGGTTTGTCTCCAGAATGGGTCCTCTTGTGTCGAGTCAGATGTGAGCTCCGATTGAATCTTCTCCCGCAATCGAGGCATTTATAGGGTCTCTCTCCCGTGTGCAGTCGCTGGTGAGTAATAAGGGCTGAACTGTCACTAAACCCCTTTCCACAATCCAGGCATTTGTAGGGTTTCTCTCCCGTGTGGTGCATCTGATGTCTAACAAGCTGCATGTTCCAATCAAAACTTTCCCCACAGTCCAGGCATTTAAAGGGTCTTTCTCCCGTATGGGTTCTCTGGTGTGAAATAAGATCCGAGCTCTGAATGAAGCTTTTCCCACACTCCAGGCATTTATAGGGTTTCTCACCTGTGTGGGTTCTCTCGTGCCTAATAAGATGGCAACTTTGATTGAAACCTTTCCCACAATTAAGGCACTTATAGGGTTTCTCTCCCGTGTGGATCCTCTGATGGGAAATAAGGTTTGAGCTCTGATTGAAACCTTTCCCACAGACAAGGCACTTGTAGGGTTTCTCTCCCGTGTGGATCCTCTGATGGGAAATAAGATGTGAACCTCGACTGAAGCTTTTCCCACACTCGGTGCATGTGTTTTTTCTCTCTTCTGTGGGGATTCTCTGCTGGGCTGTGGTTTCCTCGAGATCCTTGCAATCTCCACCGTCATTTATGGGTTCACATGTTTTCTTCCCTGTGCCATATCCCAGCAGCATCTCTGACCTGCGCTGATTTCCACAGGCTTTTCCTGGTTTACGGTTCTCATAAAAATCCCCCTTGGATCTTCCCAATACCGTTCCCTGCAGATCCACATCCTCAACACCTTCCCGCTGCGGATTCTCCTTCTCATTCACCATCCCAGCACCCTCTGGAATACAGAGAGAGAATCCAGAAGGAGTTTCACAATGTATTGGACCAGGTAGAACAACGGCACCACAGGGTGAAGCTAGAAACAGTTTTCAAAATATATATTTTTTAAAATAGAGCCATTTGGAAGAAATAATCTAGACAACACAGAGCACCGGGGACCAACAATGGAGAAATTTCATTCTGCCTCCAGATCCCTTCGAAAGACCCCGGGGGAAGTAAAGTCTGGGGGCGGGAAGCTCATCCCAGATCTCAGTCAGCGTGGGTGGGTGACATCTGCCCCATGGATGGAGCTAGTCCCAGGAAGGGAGGGGAAGAGACATGAATGAATACAGACAGGACAAGACAATGCTTCTGCCACCTCAACGGATGCAGGGATGGAGATAAATTAACATCTCCCTTGTGTTTCTGACTCCTCAGTCCCATGGCTGGGGGAGTGGAGATCAAAGTGGGTCTCAAATGAGTTGTGGGGACTATGGGGTCATTCTCCTGAAATCGCAGGGTCTGACTGCACAGCTGCTGGGAGGTGTGATCCCCAGCTTGGCAGATGGACAAGCACTAGCATCTAAAAACAGCAGTATGGCCATGGCAGCACGGGCTGTGGCTCGGACTACCCACCTGACTACAATCCTGCCCTGCCCCTGGGCATGTAGTCAAGTGGCTAGCACTAGACGCTATCTGCGCTGCTATTTTTAACTATTGCATGTACATGTACCTGAGCTGGGAATCACACCTCCCAGCTGCGGTGTAGAAATAACCTAAGCGACCAAGGAAGAACCTGAGCAGAAGCCCAACTGAAAAATCACAGTCCCGCCCCCTACCCAGTCATCGCAGTCCCTCTCTCCCCATCCCTCCCAGGCTTCCAATAATCAAGGGGACAAGAATCCCTTACCCAGCGAGGTCACTGTCTCGTAGTTCTCCTGCATGACGTCCTTGTAGAGGGCTCTCTGACCAGGATCGAGCAGAGCTCCCTGCCTCTCGGTGAAATACACAGCCACCTCCTCGAAGGTCACCGGCTCCTGAAACAAGAGTTCCCCACTCAGCACCTGCTGCCCCAGCCACAATCCCTCCAGTCCCAGGGGAGGAGGGCCGATAAAATGAAAGGTCTGGTGGAGACAGAGGAGCAGAATCCCACTCCCACCTTGCTCGGAGCAGCTAGGAGGCTTAAGGGAGGGGAGAAAGAGAGAGCTCCTTGACCCTCCCAGTCGGTGGAGGAGGGCAGGGGCCTTCCCGTTTATCACAGGAGGTGGAGCCCCTCAGCAGGGTCCAGGGACAAGAATCCCAACCCCCTCCCCATTCCCAGCAGCTGGGAGTGAGGGAACGGGGCCTCTCCCCTGGGCCTCACCGCTGGGTGCCCCCTTCGTATTCCACAGCAGCCTCTGCATGGTCGGTTCAGACTCCGGCTCTGGGAGTCCAGTCAATGTTCCCAGCCCTGTCCAGGGGGTTTGTTTCCAGTTCCAAAAATGGGGGAATTTCCACCCCGGATCCCAATAGGCATCTTCTGAACACACTCAGGTGACTAGCCCAAGCCGCTACCAAGGCCGTATATTTAGGCACTAGCTCTAGCAGAACTAGTGCATGTACATCTACCCGGGCTGGGAATCCCACCTCCCAGTGCCTGTGTGGACGTAACCTAAGTGACCAGGGTAGAACCTGAGCAGAAACGAAACTGGGCACATGAGAGACCCAGGGATGCCACAGACTGAACATGTCAGAGCAGGTTTGTCCCTCCCCGTCACCACTTCCCTGGCCCTGTGTATTTCCTGCTCCAGCCCTTCTAACACAAACCCATCAGCAGCCCCCTGAAACTCCCCTCTCTGAATGGGTTTCCCCCTTCAGGATGTGTTGTAGTCACTGGGATCTGGCAGTTCTACCCCAGTGGGGAGCTCCATTTTTTGGAAAGTGGACGAAAGTTCATACAAACTTACAATCACCTCTAAGAACAAATGTTGCTAGGAAAAGGTACACAAAGGAGACAGGCTGGGTCAGCCCAAACTGAAAGGTCTAAATAGTTATGGGAGGAGTGGACCTGAAACTTGGGTCTCCTAAAACCCAGGTGAGCGCCCTGCCCCAGGGCTGGAGTCCGTCTCATTCTCTCTCACCCAATGCATATGTAACCATTTATATACGGTGGAACAGCTTCAATGGGAGAGACTGAGGGCAGGTCTACACTATGGCAGCGGCGGTCGATTTAGCAGGTCTATTTAGCAGGACCCCCAGTTTCAGAAACGCTGACTTCGTGGTTATTGTATTGCTAGACTTATATACAGGCTTGGCAGAATTTGATTTTTTTCGATCATTTCAATGGTAATATCAGTGTTCATTTTTAAGGATTTATTTTCAATTGTTATTGATTTAAATGTTCCCAGTTGCAGGAAATAATGGGGTAGATCACACAATAATTATTCAACGACTGTAGACATTGAGATTCAAAAAGCTGAAAGCTTTATAAATGGTAAACACATTGTCATCATCATCACGTGTCAAACTATACCAAGTAAATAGCCTAAATTCAAACGCTCAGAAGTTCTCAAGCAGCATTTTTCTTACTTTGCCTCTCTGCACATTTCGACTATTTTCAGTGGAAATATGTTTTCATCCATTTGTGTGTGTGTGAGCAGAAATGGACATTTACCGACACTTACTGATTGAAAATCTCATCCTTCCAAGCCTTTGTATGTAGAAGAGAAACAAAATTTGAGCAGCTTGATCTCACTGTAACCCCCCCACACTACACCAGTAGCAGGTTATCCAGGCTGCCTGGCACATGGGCATTAGGATACCGTCTGTGAGCGGGTCACACTCTGGGCTGTTCAGTAAACCAGGATCCTGC